CAGGGACAAAAGCCTAGCTTGGTGCTGGCTGTTTGGGGAGAAAAAAAAACTTGGGAAGTGGGAGGAAAGAAAGATAGCACAAAGTGGAAGGTGTGGTGTTTTTTTTTTTTTTAAAGCATGATCAAGTTGCAGGAGAAAATGGGCCCAGATAAAAGCCTTGAGTCAGGCAGGAGAGAAGTAAGAGCAGGGCTTGAAATATGACAGGGGAAGAATTACAACTGCAGGAAGATAAGAGGTTGAGGGTAAGCCAAGATGGCAGGAGGGGGAAGGGAAAGGAAGAGGCTAAGTTGGCAGAGAAGGGGAGAGATAAGGGAAGAAAGGCTTAGGGTCAGTTGTTCAGAAAGAAAGGCTACAGCCTGATCCTATTACACATACCAGATTCTCCCGCAGTTTAGTGTCCTAGTGGGGAGAGAGACACTCTGTAGGGAGTTATATGAAAACCAATTTTGATAAGAAATAAACCTTCCGCCAGACATTTCTAATAAAACAAGGCAGTCATAGTGCATCTGCTGCCACATCAAGTGGCTGATTTAGAAAGTTCTGAAAGTTTATTTCTGTTGTATTTTTACTGCCATGGGAAAGGAGAAACAGTTTTGGCATATCCTACCTCAGGGTTTATCTGTTTTAATGGAACTTATGCAAGAAAATAGCCCTATGGATAGGATCTAGGCCTATAGAAATAACCTGACATGTTTTATCATGAGTCAATCTGTCTCTTCACTGTTTTTTTTTCTTTTTTGCCAAAAGAGCAGACTCACTAAATTATGTATTCCTAGAAAAGTTAGTTGGATTTAATTTTCTTGATCAATCTGTCTAATTGATTAGTTCCAGCTGTCTTTAATTTGGATCTAACCCAGTCTTCATCATGAGTAATTGAATAAAATATGTATCATTTTTATTTTTTTAAATTTCAAAAAGATTGAAGTATTTCTTAAGTGTGGACTAAAACTGCTAGATGTTTAAAACTATATATTCATTCCACTATATACAAATTACAATTTAGTGTATTAAACTAGTTATTTTAATATCTAATCAATCATAATTTCATAGTTGTTTAATAATTGAATCATAATTTTCCAACCCAAAGTTTATCTTCTAATAGTACTGGATTCCCTTTCAGATCCTCATCCCACCTCTCCAACAGGCATGAAAGATTCCAACATAACATTATCAGTAATTAAAATGCAATCAGTGTTGCTTTCAGATCTGTTTGGTAATAGCCCCTAAATTTAGCATAATTATGTCCAGCCTCCTTCTTTTCCAGTCTAAATTCTGAGCTTTCCAAATAAATCTTAACACCAAATAAATCTTTACACCAATGTGTGAAAGACTGTCTTTGCACAGAGGTGCCCCTGAGAAAGAAAGGAGTGGTAATGGGCCTTCTTTGTTAAAGAAAAGGGGCAATTATAAGTGAGGAACAGCATCTGCATTCAAAGGGCTCTTTTAAAGAGCCAAACTCCTTCTTCCTCATTTACAAGAGATTATAGGAAGGTAAAGAGAAGGCAGAGGAGAGCTAGTGTGATGTACTGGTTAAGACATCTGGCTAGAAATTGGGTGACTATGAGTTCTAATTCTGTTTTAAGCACAAACCCAGCTGGATAACTTTGGGACAGTCACCTTCTGCCAGTCTTAGAAAAGAAGTAGTGGCAAACAACTTTTCAGAAGGGAGTGTCCAGGCAGTCTCTGAAAAATTGATACAAGAGGAGGGGGAAAGAAGAGATTTAGGTTGGCTGGGAATAAAGATTTTTGAAGGAGTTCTTTATTAGACATATACTTATTACTACTTTAAAAATAAAAGTACAAGGAGGATAAAAAAGTTAAGCAAGAGAAATACCTTTTACTTGATCCATCAGTTTTTATATCATGGCAATAAATGTAGAAGCTCTATGGCAGATTCAACTCAGTAGCCATCAATGGGTACAATACTTATGTAATTCCAAGGTTTGGTGGTGCTTTCAGTGTTTGAAGAATTGTATGTGCTTTTTTCCTCACTGTTTCCACATTACTTTCCCTTTTGACTCATCAATATTGCAAAGATCCATGCCATAAGGAAGTGGCAATTAGGAGTAGATTTCAGACTGCTGTGCTCTGGATTATAAAAGAACTGTTGCAAAACAACAGACTGTTTTATTTAATCAAGAATTGGGTCCAAATTCTTCATCTCTGTAATTTATCCATAGCATCACAATCAGATACTGAATACAGAAATTAAATTTTAAAAGATTATAAGAAATAGGTTATTGATTTCTCCATTCTGATGATATAAGGCCTTTTGAGCTTTTGTCACTGATTGCTAGTGGTATTACACCTCTCAATTATCTATAATTTTGAGAACATACTTGGTTTGCAACTTTCCCAACATTCTTCTTCCAAAAGATACATTGGGGTTGCATGGAAAACTATCACCTTCCCAGGACATACAGCTAATGATGATGGATGCTGAAAATCATAGATCTACATTTGGAATATTATCCATTCCTGTTGAAAGAAATTGGTATTGAAGAAAAATAGTCATCAGCCATACTTTCTCCTTTCAAAGTATTGTAGAAAGGAATTAATCTATGCTATACCATTTTGCTTTGATTAGATAGGCCATGTCATTTATAGTCACTAATACTTATATTCATAGATTGTGTCACTTTTCTGTGCCCTTCTGGATGAGAGACTCAACTCATTCACTTCAATATATTCTGGCCATAGTTCCAACACAGTTCCACTGTCCTTGAGTCCTAATTTTTTCATGACTAGAAATGACAAGAAGGATAAGGAAGTCTTGTACTTTGTGGAACATAGGTTGCATATAGTGCTATTTCTGTTCCAGAGAAGAACCTGGGTTTGGGCAGGCACTCATTGATCTTCCACACTTAGTATTAACCTTGATTATCCCCTTGATCTTGTCCCCAGTGATCACAATAGGTTTAAGGTATCCTTAATTACATGAAGATAACATCCAAGTATGTGAAAAAATATTAAAAAATATTCACCACCAAATATTCGAGATGTAGTCCAGTGAGTAGTCCTTGGTGCTCTCTGAGCTTGGTTGTTTTCTTACAGACTTTTCATTACCCAAACTGGATAACATCATTAGTGCTAGCACCGTCTGCAAGAAAACAACCACACTCAGAGAGCACCCTTCATTTCAACCCTGACTTCAAAATATTCTTCTTTATTGGTATATAGTCCAGTGACAATAATGCTGAGAAATTAGCCAATTGCTTACCAAATCAGAAGAGATGTAATAGAGGCAGCGAATTTCATGTGGCATAGTATAGTTTTCAACTGACTTATGGTTAGATGGTTAGTCCTAGCACAGCACTGAAATGCAAGTTACTCTGCCTAACATTGCTCCTAAATACTTTCCAATCTAGCTTCCACTTTCCCTCTCTTACTAAGGGTTATCTAATGCAGCCCTCTTTGCATTTCCAGTCCAAGGCTTGCTTACTATTCCCATCCCACTCATAGTCATAGTCCATATTGCAGTTTTGGCAATTAGCACAATTAGTATCCGTGGTACTACTCTGGTTAAGAGTATATCCCCCCCCCCTTTTTTTTGAGTTTGAAATAACTTTTGAGATGCTGCCGAGCTAGGCTGCAGTTGTACTTGGCATCAGGGGCATTTGGTATTTGGATGCTCTCTACAGTGTTGGAGCATTTGCTATAAAGGTCTATATTAAGTCAAAATACTTGACTGTCGTCAGACTAATTATAATCTGTATTAGCAGCAGTATTGCGTTCAAATCATGGGAGGTAACGTCAATTGTAGTCTGTTTTGTTAGACCACACCTGAAGTCCCATGTCCACTTCTGGACATTGCATTTTAAAAGGGGCACAATGAATCAGGAATTGATTCAGGGGAGAGCTGCCAAAAAAGAAAGGGAGTTGGAATGGAAAGCCATCCTCTATGAAAGTGAAGAAAGGAATTGGACATATCTAGTTTGCAAACCAGAAGACCGAAAAGAAATAGGCTAGCTATGTATCAATATCTAGAAGGTTGTTAATGGGGTGGACATGTTTTTGTTTAAAACCACAAAACAGGACAAAGACAATAAAAATTAAAAGAAAGAAAATTCAAGATGAATGCTATTTTCCTAATGATGAGGAATGTTAACCCATGAAACAATAAGCCTAAAACAGGGATGGACAAATGTTTTCAACAGGAGATGGATGATTATCTACCCTCCTCCATTCTCAACACAGAGGCTAATATTGTTTAATCTGAAGGAACTAATTTTTAAAACCTCAGGTTGTTATATAAGAAAATAATACAGATAGAAAGGCCTCTAAGCCTGCCACACATGTAGTTTTGTTTATTGAAGAGCAATGATAGCAGAACATTCTCCCTCCCCCCTCTCTCATTATACTAGCCGCAAAGATATGGGGGAGAAGAAATAATCTTTCTACCTAGATAGTAACAACTAATCTATTGTGTAACAGAGGCCTTCCCCAAACAAAATACCAGGGAGTTCACTAGTTTAAAAAACAAAAGAAACACAGGCAATAGGAGGGTGGGGGAAAACCTGTGAAACGTATTAGTGTGTGTTCCAGGCAGGGGTTTTTTTTTTTTTTTGGTGTGTGTGTGCTTTGGTTGGAAATTGTTTTCAGAAGGAAGACATAACTGCCTTTACACGTTATTTATTATAATTTGGGAAGGGGGAGGGAGCTGAGTTTGCCTCACAACCAAGGTAATCTGCCTGCTAATAATTTAATTATGACTGGAGGTGAATAATGTTAATCCAAGGTAAATTATTTCTCCTTTAAAACAGCCACAGGACACCCGGGCAGAAAGAAATCTGGCTTTCGGTTCGTGCTCTCGTTATTCCTCCCCCACCCCACCCCGAGGTGGCTGACCAATCCCAGGAAGGAAGGAGGGGACGAGGGCTGGTCCCTGCATTTGAATCTGATTGGGCGACAATAAATTTTGGGAAGGGGTTTAGGCATCTCTTTGATGGAGATGCAAGCGGCCGGGCGGGAGGAGGCAAGGAGAGAAGGGGCTGGCCTGGAATTGATTAAGTTGGGAGGAGAAAGAGGAGAAGGCTGGGCGAAGCGCAACTCAGCCCGGGGGCCCTCCTTTGAAACAGACTAATTGGGGAGGGAAGACACAAAGGGAAGCGAAAGGCGCTTGGAGAGACGCGCGGCGAGGAAGAGTTCCCGCTGGGTGAGTGGAGTTTTGCCTCCGTCAGCTCTCCGAGGCTGATCCCAAAAAGTTTTGCCAGGACTAGGGTCCCCGAAGCAAGTGACAGATCCCAGCTCGTCCTGGGGAGGAGACAAAAGCGCTCGGGTATCCGTAAGAGCTGACGGGGAGCAAACCACCATGCGCCTTGCCGACGCGTCCTTGGCCCGTTGCCTGCTGCTGCCGTTGCTCTTGGGATCCTGCTGGGCCCAGTTCCACGGAGAGAAGGGCATTTCTATCCCCGACCATGGCTTCTGCCAGCCTATTTCCATTCCGTTGTGCACTGACATTGCATACAACCAGACGATCATGCCCAATTTGCTGGGACATACCAGCCAAGAGGATGCTGGCTTGGAGGTCCATCAGTTCTACCCTTTGGTGAAGGTCCAGTGCTCCCCGGAGCTCAAATTCTTCCTTTGCTCTATGTATGCCCCTGTGTGCACTGTCTTGGAGCAAGCCATTCCACCTTGCCGATCCATTTGTGAGAGGGCACGTCAAGGCTGTGAAGCTCTCATGAATAAATTTGGCTTCCAGTGGCCAGAACGACTGCGCTGTGAGAACTTTCCCCGCCATGGAGCAGAGCAGATCTGTGTAGGGCAGAACCATTCAGAGGAAGGTGGCTCTCCAGCATTGATTACAAGTGCCACTCCAATTGCTGGACAGGGTACTGCTGGGCCACCACGTTATGCCACTCTGGACCACCCTTTCCACTGCCCACGAGTTCTTAAAGTGCCGAGCTACCTCAACTACAAGTTTCTTGGAGAGAAAGACTGCGCAGCACCATGTGAACCCACCAAGAATGATGGGCACATGTTCTTCAATCAAGAGGAGATTCATTTTGCACGCATCTGGATTCTCATCTGGTCTGTTTTGTGTTGTGCCTCTACTTTCTTTACTGTCACTACCTATCTGGTGGACATGCAGCGCTTTCGCTACCCAGAAAGACCCATCATCTTCCTCTCTGGCTGTTACACCATGGTCTCTGTAGCCTATATTGCAGGATTTGTATTGGAGGAACGGGTGGTGTGCAATGAACGTTTCCAAGATGATGGCTATCGGACAGTGGTGCAGGGTACCAAAAAGGAAGGCTGCACCATACTTTTCATGATGCTGTACTTCTTCAGCATGGCCAGCTCCATCTGGTGGGTCATCTTGTCCCTCACTTGGTTTCTTGCAGCTGGCATGAAGTGGGGACATGAAGCCATTGAAGCCAACTCACAATATTTTCACTTGGCAGCCTGGGCTGTGCCTGCTGTCAAAACGATTACCATCCTGGCCATGGGGCAAATTGATGGTGATCTCCTCAGTGGTGTCTGTTTTGTGGGGCTTAACAACATAGACCCACTTCGGGGCTTTGTTTTAGCTCCCCTCTTTGTCTATCTCTTTATAGGCACCTCATTTCTTTTAGCAGGCTTTGTGTCACTTTTCCGTATCCGTACCATCATGAAACATGGGGGCACCAAAACAGAGAAGCTGGAGCGTCTCATGGTGCGCATTGGGGTCTTCAGTGTCCTCTATACAGTGCCAGCCACCATTGTTATTGCTTGCTACTTCTATGAACAGGCCTTCCGTGAGCACTGGGAGCGGAGCTGGATTAGCCAAAACTGTAAAAGTTTGGCCATTCCCTGTCCACTTCAATACACCCCACGCATGACCCCTGACTTCACTGTCTACATGATCAAGTATCTCATGACGCTGATTGTGGGCATCACTTCAGGTTTCTGGATCTGGTCTGGGAAAACCCTTCATTCCTGGAGGAAGTTTTATACCAGGCTAACTAACAGCAAACATGGGGAGACTACTGTTTGAGAAGAGATAATGGAGAAAGCAGATTGCCAGCTCCAGAATTTCAAGAAAATACCAGATCTGCCTGCATCTCCTTCCTTGAGCTGATTCTGTTTGTATGTATGGGGAGATGTTCTTTGGAAAACCTCCCTGCAATTTGGGGAGTGGGGCTTTTTTACTACATAAAGCTGAAAACTCCTCTGACAATCGGAGAGGAAAAAAAGAAAAACAAAGGAGAAAAACTCCAAGTATTTAAAACTCTCTCATTTTAATTAAAACAAGTTCTAAACTTCTTTGCTTTAGGTTTTTAATTAACTATTAAAGGGTGTCTTTTTGTAATTAAAATTGTAAATAGCATTTGTAAATTTAATTATATATTTCTATTTAAAAACAAGTAAGAGAACAGCAGCAAGGACTTTATTTTTCAGAAAAAGTATGGAGAGGTCAAAGAAAGAAAAACTATTTTTTCATCTTCTTTTCTTTGAACTCTATTTTTCCCCCTTTTTCCTTTGCTTTCCTCTCTCTCTGGAGCCAGGAGTATGTGCTGTTTGGGTTGGCCCTTAATAGGCTATTTTTTCCTAAGCTTTTCATGAGAGCCAGGTTTTGTATCACTCCTAGCACCCAACCCACCTTAAACATCTTCCATCAACTCCCTTTTGCATGCTACAGTTTTTGATATATTTCCAGGAGTACTTCTTCCATCTCATTTTTTCTTTTCCAGATTGAAAGTTTGGCAAGCGATGTTCTTTCTGAAAATATATTTGGGGGTGGGTTTGGGGAAGATGGCTGAGCCTTCTCGCCTTTGCTGAAATTTGGGCCTTAGCTGTGCAGATTTTCTTATGTTTATTTCTTTTAGAGAATTATGACCTCCAAGAAAGTTTTTCTTGCCTTAAGCCACAGAATTCTTTTTCTGTTACATTTGTATGTTTCTATTTTTTCCTAGATGTTTTGTACAAAAGGTAGCTTTTTAAAAATGACATTTCCTTTATTAAACAAACTTGTTCTTTGCAAATTCAGTTTGAGTATTTTTCAAAAGCAGCAGCGGCCGTCTCCAAAACAATTTATTGGTGAGCTATCCACTTAGCTTCTAGAAAGTAACTAAAACCTGCAATTGATATTTCACAGCACAATATCCATTTGCTTGAAGAGAAGGATCTTAAAAAAGCTTTTTTTTAAAAAGCTATTGGGACATGCTTAGTGGCATTTTAGAAAGTTTAAAGGGAATTTATCTCTTTCAATTGAAAAATACTGTCTTTTGAGAAGCGTAGGAACCTTATTTTACAAGTTTTTCCCAATATAGGAGAAAAAAACCCTACATTTCTGTCTTCTACAATTTTCTTCTTTTGAGGATGTAGACTTTTCTCAACTTCTATTATAACTCTTAAGAAATTTCATAGATGTTTGGGTAACTTCTCTAAATGCCTCTTACAGGAAAATAACAATTTATTATTCAATAAAACAACTGTAATAACAAAAAAGCAATATATTCAATGAAAAAGCATTAAATCTAAACCATTTTTTTTCTAAATCAAACGTCTCCGATTTGGAATTGATTTCCGACAACATTTAGGAACAATCTCAGTCTAAGGTTTCCATGGAAATCACTGCAGATAGATTAATTTCTTACCATATTTTATGAAAAAAGTATTAGAAACAAAAATGGTAAAATTCTTTTTTGAGTCTTTGCATATGATGACTGCACACGTATGCATTTTGCATCAGTTATGCAAGCTGTGAAAAGATATGGCTGCTGTAATTTTTTTCTCTTTTTACTCCCAGTACGTTGAGAATTTTGGCACGCCTGTATCATTTTGGCAAGCCTGTATCATTTCGTTGAAATCTTAACAATTGGATCCTGAGCATTTTTTATCAGAATTAAGAATTGCTCTCAAAATTATTATAGCAGAAGAAATGTTTTCTAAAAATTAGTGTTTTCATTTGAAAAATGATCAGTATTCTAAATAATATATTTCTACCAGTTCACTTTTTAAATTTTTCAGAATATTTGAATTTGAATTGGGGTGGGATTGGAATCAGCTGGAATTATTTATAAAGAAAGACAAAGTACCATTTTTTGAGTTAAAGTTTCTAAAAGGCTTTACTGAAGCCGCTCCAATCCTACCTAGAAGTTTGCTAGCAAATTCCATCCATTTCTCTAGCATGATAACCACTCTTTGCAATGAGTTTAAAGATGGAACAGGATGCTAAAGGATACATGGAAGAAGTTAAGAGAAAAAAGGAAACCTATTGTTGCACAAATCTTTTTGAAAAACTTCTATTAAATTTCAAATTTTTCCCCCTGTGGCAGACTCTGATGGCCTCTCCTTCCTCCTGCCCTTGGCAAATTGTCATTCTTAAGACTGCTTTTGTGTTGCTAATGGTATTGGTTGCTTTCTTGTGTCATTTAGTGTGAAGTTTTAAAACTTTGAAAAGAAATAAACAATTTCCTACTCCTTTTCCATCAAAAGGATCATAAAGGAAACAATTTGGTTGGGTGAGGAAACAATAATGCAAAATGGGATTTATAATACTAGGGGTAAGCAGAGGGAGGAAGTAAGAAAGGCTTCCGATTTTGAATCTTGCATTTTAAAATGAGATGGAAATGGAAACCTCTATTTTTCTTCTTCACACTGCTTGCACACACACACACACACACACACACACACACACACACACACAGTCTTTCTCTTCATCAGAGAAAAGAGTGTGGTTTAAAGCCCCAAATCAAAGGGTGACTAAAGTGAACCAGATGGATTCTGGAATGCTATAAACATATGTCCACCTAGGACAAAAAAACCCCCACACACATTCTATCTGGTTTTATTTCTAAAAAAACCGTTATTGTGTAACACAACACTCATATGGTTTGTACTTGAGTGTTGCCTACTATGCAATGAAGCATGTCAATATCTCTATTATTTCCAGTTACAGTGTTTTGCCTTCTACCATAATACTGGGTTTTTCCAAAGCATCTGGTGACAAGAGGTTGTAAATTAGAGGTGTTTTCCACAGATTCCAGTAGAGCTTCTGAATTCAAGAACAACATTTTGTCCAAAGCTTTCAACTACAAATGTCTCTTCCCCCTCCCCCTCCCTTTCCCCCCCCCCTCCTATAGGTATGAGACAGGGACATTTTTCGCTCCCCATTAATTTATCAAGATCCAGTTTTGTTTTGTTTTTTCCTAGCTAGCTTATATTAAAATTCATATTAAAACCTAATTTAGATGGCATCAGTGGCTGTGCAAAAGGATTAAGCTCTAAGTTCTGTTATCGTGCTTTTTCCATTTTTTAAAATAGCCGATTATATCTACATGGTTCTTTTTTTTCCAGCATTTCCTATAAACCTGTCTTATGAACCCTGCAAAATCATCAACAGATGGTTCTCATTAGTCCCCTTTTTGGCAAAGGTTTTTCAGCTGCTTGCCCCACACAAGCAGGGACTACACCCAAACTTTTAGTAAACCCCCTCCCCCTTTCTGTGTCCTCTGGACAGAACATTGCAACGTGGACCAGAGGAGAGCTGAGAGTGGGCTCCCTGTGCCAAGGAATGTTGGGGCCATGGGTTTATCTCCCCCCTTTTGTTCTTAATTTAATCCTTCTGGTTTTAGAAGCCTATGGAAAAGAAAGACCATCTCATGTCAGAATGGCTTATGTCAGGCAAGCGCTTTTCCACATATGTGTGTATTTTAACAAATATCTAAAGTTCATTTCTTTCTCTCTCCTGTCCCTCCCCTCCAGCTCCTTCATGTTTACCCTCTTTCCAGGTCAGTTCGACTTTTTCAACCCCATCCTCTTTTGGCTCCCTTGCCCCCTTTTTGTTTGCAGCGCTAATTAAGAAGGGTGGGGGAAGGGAAATAAACTTTTGTTACCCTTTTGCAAGCTAGCATGATTTTTTTTTAAAAAAATCAATTTAACTTAAAAAAAATGAATCGATCTCTGACTCATATCCTTCCCTCCTCCCCAAAGTATGTTGCATAGGACATTTTTGCATTCCCACTTAAAGTTGACATACAGGCTTTGAAATGGAGATTTCTCCCCCAGTGAAGCAGAGGCCTGCTTAACACATTAAGAATCCCAGCTGCCAGGGAATGAGAGCAAAGAGGTTTGATCTGTGCAGGGTGGATTCCTCTCCTCTTCCCGCCCCCATTGAAAAGACAAGAGTGTGGGGGTTGTTCCCTGCAATAAACTGTTACAGACCTAGAGCTATTTAGAGGGGGGGGGATGGAATATGAAATTCCTTTGCGGCAGACGGGAAGGCTGTCCAGTCGTGCAGACAAAAAAGCCTTCTTTAAATGACTCACAGTTGCAAAGAGTCAACCAGTTCTGTTTAATGAAATAGCATAAAGGAGGGGTTGGTGAACAACTGTATTCCTAACCAGGCTTCAGTTTCAACTCCTATCAAGACAGGCTTCTACGAGTAGAGCAGCTGCCATGCCTGACTCTTACCTCCTCAATAAAGCCTCAATTCTGCAAGCCTCTGGCTTCATGAGGCTTCAATATGTCTTTAAGGGGCACTGCAATATTTTTTTGTAAAGTCAGACAGGGACCCAACAATGGTTAGTAAGGATTTTAATTTTTAAAAACTGGGTAAGCAGAAAGTCCATCTTATCAAGTCAGCTTGGTTAACCTCTATCCAACAAGGCTGATCAGGATTTTCTGGGAAGATGAATGAAGCAAACCTGTGACTAGTTTTCCCTGGAATATAGGAATCCATAATGCATAAAGGATAAAGGCAGATATAATGTCAACTCAAGATTGTTCACCCAACTGCTGTGCCTGGCCTTGATGGAAATGACAGGTGTGCATACCAGCATTTGAATTCTGCCTGAATGTCTGTTCAGTCCTCTCCTTCTATGCTTCAGGTGGATCTTCCACCTTGTTAAGAACTTTTAAAAAGCTTTGCATGAATATTGCAAGTGCTAAAGAAACGTATTTTAAAATGCAAAATAAAGGATTCTCCTGTCTTAATAAGTGAGGCAGAATTGTGATAATGCCTGGAAAGTCCCAGCCTTGCACTTGCAGCTGCTTTCTGATTCAATCTAGCAAAACTATTTTTTCTTCTCAGGGTATAGCCTGTATACCCAGGGCTGTAAAAGCACTATGAAGTGGTATATAAGTCTAAGTGCTATTGCTATTGCTATCCATTTAGTGACCCCAAATGTGGCACTAAATGGACCCTTCCAGTCTAGTAGGACTGCTTAGCTTCTTACATATTACTAAACTTTCAAATGTATTCATTTGCTTGAACTATATTTATTAAAAATAAATTATTTTTAAGAAATATAGTTTAAGCAATTCCCCTTCCTCATTATCCCTAGAGAACATATATGATTCTTTTAAAACTCCAAACATTGAAGGATCATATCCTACCCACCCGGTCTAGTTGTGGGAGTGCCTGGCCTCCCAACCGCCCCCCACTCTCTGGAACAGCAGTGATGGCGGCAGGGAACATGGTATCACCTGGCAGCAGGGAGGGAGACGGAGAAGGGGGCGTCCGCTAGCAGAGAGGGAAGACTGCGAGGTTGGTGCTTCTGGGACAAGGGGAGCCAGGAAGTGTCTGGGTCCAATTCACTCGGCCTCTCTTCCTCTCGCAGCTGCGTGTCCTCCAACTGGTATGGACAGCAACTACAGCCTTAACGTGTTGCCAGTGCTTCTGCCAGTATGCCGAGGGCATCAGCTTTATTAAGGTGAGGGGGAGGGCGTCTGGGTAGGCCCCAACCATGTGCTTTTGGTTGCCTGTTGCTGCCGCTGGCTGACACCCCTTTGTTGCCCAGAGTTCCCTGGCAATGCCCATTATATCTCCTGGCTCTAATGGTCATGTGCAGGCTACGGAAGTAAATCTATGTAATGTTCTAATGTACAGAAATTATAGTTAAATATGTGGCAGACTCTGGGTGTGTTTTCCAAACTCATTAAGTGAAGTAGAATGTGTACAGTTTTAGAAGAGCTTGTTAGTGTGTATGTGTATGTGGTGTGTGTCCGTACACATACAATATATATAGTACCTAATGTATCTTTTTGTGTGCCTAAACACACACTATACCAGTGTGTGTGGCTAACCTTTTTGTCATCGCATGTCGCCACCCATAATGCAATGTGCATCAGCCCCCTGCGCATGTGCCCCACCCCCCTGCGCCCCGTTTTGGGCCTGGAAAGCCTCCTCCACCAGCCTTTGCCAGTGCAAATAGCCTGCTGCCGCAGCCAGTGGCTCCTCTTCCTACTGCCAGTTTCACGCTCTGGGCAGCATCCAGCATGGCTGGCATAGCTGGCTGGCTGGACACTGCCCGAAGCACGAGGCTGGCAGGAGGATGGTGGCAGTCCATTCGCACCAGCAAAGAGGCAGTGGCAGCTCCTCCTCCTCCTGTCAGCCTTGTGGTCCAGGCAGCATCCAGCCACCCAGCCAGCCATGCCTGGCCTCCCCCTGCGGCAGTTCTCTTAGATCCTGGGCAGTGCAGCTTTGGGCCCTTTCCTGGCAGCGGCAGTGAGGCAGGCAGGTGGGCGGGCGCAGGGGAGTGACTGGTGGCAGAGCTCCTGGCTGGCAAGAGGGTGGATGTCCTGCAGTTGCATGTGGGCATCGACGGCATGGCCAGTGCATACACGTGTTAAGAGGAGCTGCCCAGTTGCCATGCGCGCGCCAGGAAATGAACTTCTGGTTTCTGGTGCACTCATGTGTACCGGCCAGCTAGTCTTCTGGTTACTGGCATGCATGCATGCACAACAATCAGCTGGCCGGCTGATCTTCCGGTTTCTGGCACTGCCGCACACGTGAAGGCCAGATGATTGTCACACGTGTATGTGCACCAGTAACCAGAAAACTAGGTGGCCAGTGCGCATGCGTACGCCAGAAACCTGGAAGAGGAATGGGTGACGCCGCGCGTGCCAAGTGACATGGCTCTGTTAAAATCGAATAAATTTGGAGCCCTGGCAGGCTTCAAAATAAATAAACAGAAAACAACAATGCTGATCAAAAATATATCTTCTCAGGATAGTGATATATTGAACAAAAAGTTCAAGGGTTGAGAAAAAGATGAAATACTTAGGAGCTATGTTGACAAATACAAATATAAAATTGTTTCAAAACAATTATGTGTCTCTTTGGACAGAAATTAAACAGAATTTACAAAGATGGGATAAACTGCACTTATCATCATTGGCAGTGGTGAATTGTAAAATTTGTTACTACCGGTTCTGTGAGTGAGGCTTGGTGGGGGCTGGTTGCAGAAAAAAATGCTTTTAAAAGTAAAAAAAGAAGCCTCTGATGATCGCATGGCTCAGCTGGGCATGGGGTCCGGGGAGTGCAGGGATTTTTGCTACCAGTTCTCCAAACCACCCGCCGCCATCGCTACTGGATTGGGCGATCCGGTATGAACCGGGAGCATTTCACCCCTGATTATTGGGTGGAATCTCTGTAATCAAGATGAATATTTTACCAAATATGCTTTTTAAAATTTCAGATGTTACTAATACTTGCAACTGACAACCCATTTAAACAATAAAGGAGGATATTTCTAAGTTCATATGGCAAGGGAAAAAACAAAGAATTAGATATAAGCTACTGCAAGATGCTAAGGAAAGAGTTGGTTTGGGCCTACCAGACAGTTATCTAAGATGTATAAAGGTATGTCAAATGAATGTTGGAAGTGTCAAAGTAAAGAAAGTACTTTTTACCATCTATGGTGGACATGTGATAAAGCAAAACAATTTTAGAATATGATTCATATTTTAATACAGAAAATTCTGAAAATGGAGATAAAAATTAAACCAGAACTTTTCCTTTTGGGCCTAATGGAAAAAGACCTGGAGGAAAAAAATGGAACTTTGTTACTATATATGTTGACAGCAGCAAGACTATTGTCCGCACAAAACTGGAAGGACACTTTGATTCCTAACACGGACGAATGGCTGCAGAAGTTGATGGAGTTGGCTGAAATGGCAAAATTGACTATTTTGATTAAAGAAAAGAATATAAGTACTTCTATTTCCACATGGAGACTGCTTCTGAACTTTGTGCTTGAAGTGGAAAAGAATGAAACTTTGATTTTGGGTTTTACCGATTAAATTGATAGATCTTTATAGAAATGGCTTGTTCATATTATTATGAAAAAACAAAAAGTTGTGATTTGATGTTAATGCCTTATTTTACTGCAACAGAGAGAGTCAGAAGTCAATGTTTCTGTTATGTATTGTATATAGTTGTCAGTTGAAGTTCTCAGACTGGTCCTCTATTAGAGTGGGAAAATACTAGCTCCCGATTGATTGTGGGCTGATCAGCTTCCCTATAAAAGGAGCTGTGTCATCCAGGGAGCAATAGTTGCCTCACAGGCAGTATTGAATAAAGAGCTGTTAGAAATCACTCTGGCCTCACCTCCATTCTTCACCAGAACATAACAGTTTCTTTTTCTCTTATCCTCCCTCACTTTCCTTCCTCCTCTCCCTCCCCACTGTTTTTCTATTTACTTTTGTATTTTGTATCTTATTTTATCTTATAACCCAATAAAAATGTTAAATTCAAGTTTAAAGGTGTGCACCATTATGCAATCACATCATTGTAAGATTTTTTATTATTATTTTTCCTCTCTAAAAAATTTCAGTTTGTTTTCAATTGAATTATATAGCTTATATGTTATATTAAAGGTGGAAAAAATTCTGAAGTGGTTTATCTTGGTCTGATTTTTTTTACATCTCAAAAAGCTGGCATTTTAATACGGATGTGTAGATTTTTTCATATCACTGTAGAATGCACCCATATATTTTCAGTCCAGTTATGGTAGGTTTATCGCAAAGTCTTCTAAGGGGCCCTTTATGAGCCCTAAAAAGCCCACAGATGGGAAATCTCAACTAAATAATATAGTTAGGTTGGAGCAGAGGCCAAAAATGTCCAGGAACTGAGGGTTTGGTGAGAGTTCCTTTATATGACCCTACATTATGCATACCGCCTTTGATTGCAAAATTCCAAACAATCCCTTTTGCTGCCATCTAGTCTCATTAGGAGTTTGGTAGCCTAGATATGGATGGAATGGCTAGCCTAGATCCAGTTATACCAGTTCCCAGCTCTATAAGTAGCCCTCAAGTTACAATCATTCATGACCATTGAAGGTTACAACAGCACTGAAAAATGTGACTTAAAATGTGTCCTCTCTTTTATCACCATTATAGCATCCCCGGGTCATGTGATCAAAATTTGGGCGTTTGGCATCTGGCATATTTAGAACAGTTGAAGAGTTCTGGGATCATATGATCTCCACTTGTGACCTCTTCAGCTAACTTCTGACAAGCAAAGTCAGTGGGGGAAAGTAGATTCACCATGTCATTTACTTAACAGCTGCAGCATGCCATAACCATGGCAAATAATGTCATAAAATTAGGTGTGACTTACTTTTCAACCACCTTGCTTGACAATATTCCAACTGAAGTAATAAGTCAAGGATTACTTATATTATGTTTTTCCTAGTTTATTTACATATCCTGCCTTTATTATTTTTACAAATGACTCAAGTTGGAGAACATAGCAAACACACCTTCCTTGTCTTATTTTCCCCACAACAAGCCTATGAGGTGAATTGGGCTGAGAGAAAGTAGCTGGCCTAAAGACATCCAGCTAAGGAGGGATTAGAACTTTCTTGCCTGGTTCCTTAACCACTAGACCAAATTGGCAAACATATATAGTTCATATACTTGACCTATACTCCAAGATACCAAGAGTAACAATATACTACTTATTTGTTTTGATAGACAATGAACCAGGGGAAGGGGAGTGAGGGAGACCTCTTGAGAGCAGGATTTTGATGGCTGGAGTTGAAGGAAGAAGCATTCTATTTTATTTAAAAGATGGCCTTCCTGCTATTTGCCAGACAGAGGAATTAGGTAAAGTGTCTCTGCTTTGATGTGGATTAATTACCTCTGCTATGTTTTTCCAGATGGCTCAGTTTGGCTCAGTTAGGGAAAAGTCAATCAAAGTGCCAGAATCTAAGTGTTCCTCCCCCCCCATTATATTCTTTACTTCTATCATCCTAAATCCAGTTGTTTCTTAACACTATTAAAGCAGTTGAAATTGTCCATTTCTGTTCCTATTTGGCCCCTTAGGAACTGTTTACTTAACAATATTTGTATGCTATCCCCAAAATAAACTTCACTATGTGACAATAAAAAATACTAAAACAACAGACTTAAACCTTTTGAAAACATAATAAATAGGGCCATAGAAAATAAAATCTATTTCAGCCATAATATTTAAACGTCAATTTTTTAAATGGTCATACTGCAGAAATTAATTTAAAGCCCTGGGTGAACAAAAAGGTTTTTAATGTTCCAAAGCCACAAAGATGTCCTTCCTAGGAAAGGCAATGGCAGGTGATTACTTATCTTATATCTTAATGGTTACTTATCTTACTAAGTTGATGGACCACCTTACTTCCAGGGGGTTACTTATCTTTCTTACTCCAAGCAAAGTATCTGAAAATCTGGTTAGGTCTCTATGAGTGGTTATGAAAGAAGGTGGTTGTTTCCTAACTATAAGATTTCAAAGATTAACCCACATTTTAAAGTAGATCTGCGGACTGGTCATCTCCTGAATCAATGTTGTTGAATTAGAAACTACTTCTTCTTGGTAAGGGGTGCAATGGCTCCATGGTTAAAGACGCCGAGCTTGTCAGCTGGAAAGCTAACAGCTGGGGTTCAAGATCCAAGCCCTGTGAAATAATAATAATAATAACAACAACAACAACAACAACAACAACTTTATTGTCATTTTATGTGTATACACAGTATACCCATACAACGAAATTCACTTAACACCCAAAGACCTGGTCCAACACACATAACAATCCCCAAACACCCTCCCACCCACCACAAATTCCTCACCCTAAATCACCCAAACATCCACACAACAGACCAAGTAATACTGTCCAACAGCTCACTGATGGTGGTCCGAGTTTTAATTGTTCTGTATCTTCTGCCAGAAGGCAACAGACCAACAAGATTATAAACAGGATGGGAAGATCTCTGAGAATGTTATGCAACTTTCTCAAACAGCAAGATTCGAAGATGTCGTCCAGGGCTGGTAGCTGGAGTCTGATGATATTCTGGGCAGTTTTAATGATTCTCTGTAGAGCTTTTTTGTCCGCTAAAGAGCTGCTCCCATACCATGCAAGAATGCCGTATGTCAGGACACTCTCAATGGTGCTGCAGTAGTAGGACAGAAGTAGATGCCGAGATAGATTTATCTTCCTGAGCATTCTCAGGAAGTACAGCCTCTTCTGTGCCTTCTTCACAAGCATGTTAGCATTCATAGTCCATGAGAGATCCTTCGAGATATAAATGCCCAGAAATTTAAAACTACCACCCTCTCCACCTCCTCACCATTTATGTACAATGGTAAATGTACATCTCTCTTCCTCCTCAAGTCAATTATAAGTTCTTTAGTTTTTATGGTGTTAAGTGTGAGCTTTTTTTCTCGCCCCACCTAATAGTTTGAAAGCATGCAAATGTGAGTAGATAAATAAGTACCAGTTCGGTGAGAAAGTATCAGCATTCTGTGCACTTCAGGGTATAGCTATGTTGACCGCATGATCACAGAAATGTCTTCAGACAACACTGGCTCCCTTGGCTAAGAAACAGAGATGAGCACCTTCCTTTAGATCAGAAATGACCGGACAGGGGAAATATTTACCTTTATCTTACTTCTCAGTAACAGGACAATGTGTCATAAAGGTACTGTGCAGGGGTGGGTTTTACTTACCTTTACTACCATTTTGCAACGGGATCACATGTGCGCGTTTGCTTTGCTTGTGTGTGTGCATGCCTTGCTTTTGTGCATGTGCAGATCGCCGATGATGACATCTAAGGCAGTGGGCGGGGCCTCCTGCCGGTTTTACTACCATTTCTTGGGAACTGGTCTGAACCGGGGGCAACCCATCACTGGTACTGTGGGAAATACCTAAAGCAGATAAAAAGCACTTCAAATCCCAACAGTACAAAATTGATTCATTAGAATAGACTGATCTGCAATAGCTCTTGAACTCCATTCAGCCCCCAACTGTTTTCTCTATAGCTGAGAAAGCCCAAGGAATTCTACCCATGTTTTCTCCACTCTACAACTGGATGGTGGGGAACAAGTTACCGTTTCAGCAAACCTAATCAAGATCACTTGGATGAAGAGGTTAAAACCTCCTTCTGTTCTAGGAAACCTGAGCAAAATTGTTGCAACAGCAGTAAGAAAACAATGATGTTTCTCTTGTCATGATCCTTGAGAGAGATTAAAATCAAGAACTCTTTTTCAGAAATCTAGAGAATAGTTGTGCACTGCTGATGCTCTGAACATGAACTAGTCTGTCAGGTAAGAACCCATCCTATATAGATAGATGTGGTGTGTTATAAGAATCTTGACAACTAGCAAAGCAGAATAAATCATGGTTCAGTTTGCCATGGGTATGGGCAGGCAACATTCCAAAAGTCTATGAGATAGACCTATCTACTCATAAATTCCAAAGAATTTTTCCTGGGCAAATGTAAGGTTGTCTGCCCATTTCTTCCTTAGACTAACTCCATTTGAAACAGGTTAAACATCACTCAGTTAGTGATCCATCTTATCTGGATTACCTTTTTCTGCTTGCTTTTTTCAACCCATTCCCATATATAGTATTGGTTGGAAGGAGGAGGAGGAGGTACCTCAAACCAAATCTCTAGTTGAATCTCCCAACAGTTTTTAAAATTGATATGAAATAGAAGAAGGAACAGAATCTTAATACCTGATTCCTAAGAGGTTAAATAACCACCTGAGGTCTTCCAGCATCCTTTTCTAAAAATAGAATTTAAGCAGCCAAGGAGTCATTGTCAAGATTCTTACACTCAACCTAGGTAGTTTATCCAGAAAGAAACCATGGTAGATGGAACCAAAAACCAAAGAGAAGACTATGATAATTAACATTATTTTGTCTTTGGAAAAGGTCATTGCAAAGGGAAATGTGCACTTCTACTGTGTTGAATTAAGGCTCCCATAATCCCCAATTAACATGCCAGTCTGGAAAACACCCTAAATCTTGGTTAAAATAAGTAGGCAAGAAGTAAAATCCATCTGGCTTTGACCTGACTATTTTGTTAATTTATGCTAATTGCAACCTTTGAGGGGTAATTGTGGAAGAAGGGTGTAATGGAGATATTCAGCTGATTGCTCCTCTCCCCCCTCCTTCTCAAATGAAGTTGAATATGAACTCCACTATTTCATCCATTCTTTGTTGCGGACAGGAGTGGATTATTGGTTTCTCTTGAAGAAAAGCACCCTTTGCATTTAAACAGACAGACTGATAGCATAATTCCTGGGTATACCACTATAATTCAAAGTCAGGGAAGGACTGGCTGCTAAGGCTTTCTTTCTTCCCACCCCAGCTACTCAATCTGCACAGAACAAATCTGGAGAGGGGGAAACACCTAGGTACATCATCAATAATGGGACACTGTTCAGTGCAATTTTTAAATGGGAGGAATATGTAAAGCCCAAGTGTAAATCATAGGAGGTTACAGTACAGAAACTTCTAGAGGAATGGCTACTACTCTCCAACATTATTATTTTTTTGCTATACTTTCCTGCATCTTTCTATTACACTGAAAACTTGGCAATTTCCAATGAGGTATGCACCAGTTTAAGCCACTTACTT